TGTGGAACGGTATTAAAGCCATCACATCGTGGAAACCTAGCGCTGGGAAAATTGCATCTGTCGGCCAAGCTCTGCCAGACGAGCTGAACACGTTCTACTGTCACTTTGAATCCGCTGATGCCTGTCCTACTGTATTCCCTGAGTGTTTCAATCAAGGTACCTTCATCGTGACTCAGGAGGAAGTCAGGCGTGTCTTGTCCAGGACCATAGTCCGGAAAGCCCCAGGCCCGGACGGCATCCCTCCTCGTGTCCTGAAACTGTGCTCTGAGCAACTTGCCCCTGTGCTAACAGACATTTTCAACCTGTCGCTAAGGAACTGTACTGTGCCGAACTGCTTTAAAGAGTCGACCATCATTCCAGTTCCTAAGAAAACTCCTGTGACATGCCTGAATGACTATCGTCCTGTGGCCCTCACGTCTGTTCTTATGAAAACTTTTGAGCGGCTTGTGCTGGACTACATTAAGAACCAGATCCCTGAGTGTTGACCCGCTCCAGTTTGCTTACAGACAGAACAGGAGTGTGGAGGATGCCATCTCCTTTGCTCTGAACTCTGTCTACAGTCACTTGGACACTAGTAAATCTGTCGCAAGAATGCTTTTCATCGATTATAGCTCTGCTTTTAACTGCCTTGTCCCAGGTAAACTGATTGAAAAGCTCATGTCTCTCGGTTTAAGTGTTGCCATGTGTAAATGGATTTTTAGCTTTTTAACTGACAGATCTCAGAGAGTGAAAATCAATGACTGTTTTTCTGATGTTGTTTCTGTGAGCACTGGTTCTCATCAGGAATGTATTTTGAGTCCTTTGCTTTTTACTTTGTACACTCACGATTGTGTGTCCTCCTCTGACTCAAACTTGATCATCAAATATGCTGATGACACCACCATCATCGGTCTCATCAGTGACAATGATGAATCCTCTTATAGAGCAGAGATACAAAATGTGGCTCAGTGGAGTAAAGCTAACAACCTCCAGCTGAACGCATCGAAAACATGTGAACTGGTCTATGACTTCAGTCGCAATAGTTCTCATTTGCCTGTCGTAATCGACAACTCCAAGGTGCAGATCGTAGAGGAGTGCAAGTTTCTGGGTTTAACTCTGTCTAACGACCTGAAATGGGTTAAAAAAACTGACCGAGTCGTTAAGAAAGCTCGTCAGCGTCTCTACTTTCTGCGTAAACTTAGAGAATTTACCACTAACTCTAAGATTCTGCTTAACTTTTATCGCTGCACCATTGAGAGTTTGCTTGTTGGTTCTGTGTCTGTGTGGTTTGGAAACATCACAGATAAAGAAAAGAGAGCTTTAAACAAGGTGCTCCGCTCTGCAAAGAGGACCGTGGGCTGTGAGCTTCCTGTTCTGGAGGTTCTTTATAAATCCAGACTTTTAAACAGCTCTTAGGATTGTCAATGACTCTTCTGGCCAACCTGGGAAAGCCATGTTCCAGCTTCTTCCCTCTGACAGAAGATAGCGCTCTCTGAGATGCGGGACATCTCGTTACGCTAACAGTTTTTATCCACAAGCTGTTATCAGTGTGAACAGAGCACTTTAATGATTTGCACTTGTTTTGAACCTGTTTTAGTCGATCGATTTCACAGCGACATTTGTTTACTGTTTTATTTTTGTCTTTTAATGTTGTTTTATGTCTGTATTTGTCTGTGCACACTGGTGACTTTTGCTAATGTATTCCAATGTGGTGTTTTTACTGCAAATGGCAAATAAACTGAAACTGAATATCTGACCTTTTTTTTTTTTATTGTATCGCCCTGAAAAGAAGAAAAACAGAAATGTTTAGGTATACTCAGGAGCAATAGAATAGCTTTGACAAATGTCATCTTCTGGACATCCCATAAATAAGTATGAAACATGTCAATTACAAATACAAAGGAATAAAGAATCTAATGGTGTATGTAACGATAGAAAAGCAAAGTCCTCTCCACAAAGTGAATCATGCAAATTCTGCTTGTAAGACTTATGTCGACTACATATGAATGTACACACATTAAAACATTATTAACAAGGTTAGTTTTCCTTGACAATTTCCACTTACCTACCTGTATTGTTTTTCGGCTTACAAGGGATAGTTCAGTTCAAATGAAAAATTAACTCTAAGGGTACCGCTCTGAAGGGGCAACGACCATGTGTGACGTGTGGCTTTCTATTATTGTTATTTTCAATAGCATATGACAAAGCCCTTTTGCAAGTCTTTCTAACCACAATTTTCCAAAAAAGCTGACCACGTCAGAACAGTAAACATGGTGAGCACTTTTGCTATCCACAAGGGCACACAAGTACCCAACAAGCCCTAAAAATAAAAAAAATAAAAAGGTCAGTGAAATTTTGATTAAATGTAACTTATAATATGTCATGACACGTTATAAGGTGCATTTAACCCTTTAAGCGTCAGAGGTTTTTATCTGAAACGCTCAATTTTGACATTTTTATTTCAAAAGGCTATAACTTTCAAGTGATAAGAGATAAAAGCTTTCTGTAAATTAGAAAAATATTAAGGATGGCCCAAAGTGTATGTAAGGAATAAATTTGCCCATGAAATTTGCTAATCATGATGTCATATGGCATTAGAAATTGTTGATTTTAGAATATTCATACAATATTTTTATTTTTCTAACTGACATATTGATCACTAGGATATGAACACAGAACTAACACTGTAACATTGTAAATGTTCAGGTAAATAGCACAAATTACAAATCATGATGCTGCTGTGAGCAGTCTGCCCAGACGCACGCCTCCAGGTGAAGCGCGCGCCTATGTCACAGCGACTCTCCCTGCTGCTGTGTCTAGTCTCCCCGCTCCCTCTCTCGTCTCCCCTGCTCTTTCTCTCTTCTAACAAACACATCACAAAGGCTTCTCCAACACGTTACTCTCCCGGTGATGGCGGGAGGCACAATAATACATCTGTGGGAAGCACAATTTGCGGAGATTTCAGCAAAGACTTTAGCGACGGCCGGAGTCGCGGCACGGTGCTCAACACGACTTCTATGCTTGTTCTCTGCAAATCTTACCTGTCTTCGGACCTCCCAATGACAACCCTGACTCTGAGAAACATTGGGCCTCATTCACGAATAACTTCGTAAGAAACTTCTTAAATTTCTTCTCAAGTCGTTCTTAAGTAGATTTCTAAGAAGACCCTACGTGGGATTCATCAACACGCTCGTAAGCCGCTGAATTGTTCGCAGCTGAATTGTTCGCAGCTGTTCTCTTAGATTGATGAATGCCAACTCCTCGTAAGTAGAGCGCGCGTGCCCGGTGCTTCATTAGCATAGGTACTTAGCATAGGTAACCGCCCATTAATGCCCATAAAAGGGACTGCAGGGCCGTGTGCAGACGCCAGAGGAAACAGCAACAGGCCTAAAGAAAAGAGTCACCCTTTTTTCTTCTTTTGCCAGACTAGGAATAAAGTCATAAAATGTTGACTTAAAAGTCAAAATATTTTGAGAATAAAGTCGAACAAGCAAAATGATGAGATTAATCTCAAAATGTTATGAGATTAATTTAAAAATATATTATGTTTTAATTTAAAAATGAATCTCAAAATGTTATGAGATTAATCTAAAAGTATTTTGGACCCTGAGAGGAGATCCAGCGCTGAGACCAATGCAGACCCGAGGAGAGACTGGAGAGACCAGCACACAGAAACCAGAGCGGACCGAGGAGACACCGCATAGACTGAAGCCTAGCGTACATCGGACTGGCAACTGATTATATCCGTCGCCTCTGAGTTGCTGCCCCGCACACATCGACAATCTGGCGAAAACGGGCAACTCTGAGTCGCAGGCCAGTCTCTTGAATAACAGCGCGTACATCGACAGCAACTGGCCTCAACTACAGTGTGTTTTCTGACAACAAACTGTTGCGGGCTCGCAATACACGCAATACACACACGTTGTTGGAGCGGCGCATGGAGCGCGCACATCGGGGCAACTGAGGACAACTAGTTGCCGAAAAGTAGAACACGGGCAACTGACTGGAACTGGAGACCGACTGATCATCTCCAGTTGTAAGAGCGCGCACATCGACCGATTTCGGCAACTGATCATCTCCCACCATCTCCTCTCAGTTGCCAAAAGCCGCCTTGCAACTAGTTGTCCCCAGTTTCTCTGTCGATGTACGCTAGGCTTGAGACCAGCGCGAACCGAAGAGAGACCGCATAGACTGAGACCAGCGCGGACCGAGGAGAGACCGCATAGACTGAGACCAGCGCGGACCGAGGAGAGACCGCATAGACTGAGACCAGCGCGGACCGAAGAGAGACCGCATAGACTGAGACCAGCGCGGACCGAGGAGAGACCGCATAGACTGAGACCAGCGCGGACCGAAGAGAGACCGCATAGACTGAGACCAGCGCGGATCGAAGAAAGACCGCATGAGACCAGCGCGGACCAAAGAGAGACCGCAGCGACTGGAGAGACCATATGGAGAGACCAGCGCGGTCCTCCTGCTGCAGCAGTATATATTCCATTGTTTTGTGACCCGTGGATGGACCCCTATCAATAGGATGGGGTCACTAACGGCATGATTTCCAATGTATTTAATAAAGCGTTGGCGCATTAAGTTTACAAATGAATTTAAAAAATGACTAAATTACCATAAACAATGAAATAAATAAATACATACATCAATATGGCAAACATATCACTGTAATGTTGTATTTTATTGAACTTCACAACACGAGCGTGCGAACATGTCGGCACTGAATGTGCGTAAGAGTGCTCCTGAGCACTCGTAGGATTTGTACTTACCCAAGAGAAATTCTGCTTACGAGAAATATTCGTGAATGCCACATCTTCGTAAAATCCTCGTAAGTAGGATTTACGCACAAATTTGTTCGTAAGAACCGTTCGTGAATGAGGCCCAATGTTCTCACTGCTGACTCTGTGCAAAGTGTCTAAAGTTAGTGTTTGGTGCAGTATAACACTAGCACGCTGCCCTTGGAGCTGCACTCGCTTTGCTATGTTTTCCGCACTGGTTCAACGTGGTCTTGCTCAGAAAGAAAATAAGGCCATCATTTTTGGGAGATAGCGGTCCAGCCTTCCCATGAAGGTTGCCTCAAGATTGATTGTTGTAATCCTCTTAAACTCTTCATTGATCTGCAAGGGGAAAAAACAGAAAGGACACACACATTTATATATAACATACTTGTTAATGGCATGTTCAAGCAGTCGATTTGGCGTGTGTGTGCATGCATTTGGGACACATGCACACACCCCTTGACTTGCTTGAACATACGTTCTAGAGGTGCAACGGTTCATCACTGATCCGTGATCCGTTTGGTTCAACGTCTTCGGTTCGGTACAGACGTGATCCGCGGTTTGATTTATGAAAAAAATGTTGTGCGCACGTTGTTCAGTCCACACACAGCGTGGTCATCGCGAGCAGAGGAACAGAGGAGCTTGAACGCCCCGCGTCATTTAAATCCCCAGTATGAGAGCATTTTGGCTTCACTGTAACTACACTGATAATTAATATTCGACAAAACTGTCACAGTGTAAATACTGTGGCACAAGAAAGACATGAGTGAAAAAAAGCGTCTCAACGACCGCTTATTGTCGCAGCATTTAAGCAGCTCCTTTACGCACAGTCAGACCGGGCTAAAGTCAACTCTCCCGCGCATCCTCAGCTGCGCTCACGACTGACGCTTGGACGTCCCGCGGAACCTATAATAGATCTGTGAGCGGAACCGCTCACTTCATCACCGCAGACTGGGAGATGAGAAGTCTGGCGCTGCAGACACGCCTCCTCTACGACAGTCACAGTCACACAGCACAGGTTCTGACACAAGCAGCGGAGGAATGGAAGACAAAGGCCCAGTACTAATATCCCAGTCACAATTGATAATGCCAAAAATTAAATAAATGCAGTGAATGAGGCTGGACTGGGCCCAGAATGGACCGCTTCCTTGGCAGAATCAGGAAGGTGGTTTAATATATAAGGGTAAATATCCTCATAAAGTGCCTTTTTATGTTGCACTTTGTGTTGTTTTTCATTAATTATGTTAGATAAACATAATTGGATGGTTGGAATATGCCTTCCATCCATTTCCTTCCCCTTATCCATTTCTAGGTCAGGGGGGGGGCAGTCAGAGCAGGTGCCGAGTCCACATGAGCTGTGTTTATTTAAAAAAATAATATATTTTGAAAAATGAACCGAAAAATCAACTTACATTTTAACATAGGACCCCTTATTTGATAGCAGCTTCACAATTCTTGCATCCATTGACCTTGTGAGTGTTTGGAGAGTTTCTGCTTGAATGTCTTTGCAGGATGTCAGAATAGCCTCCCAGAGCTGCTGTTTGGATGTGAACTGTCTCCCACCTTCATAGATCTTTTGCTTGAGGATGCTCCAAAGGTTCTCAATAGGGTTGAGGTCAGGGGAGGATGGGGGCCACACCATGAGTTTCTCTCCTTGTATGCCCATAGCAGCCAATGATGCAGAGGTATTCCTTGCAGCATGAGATGGTGCATTGTCATGCATGAATATGATTTTGTTACGGAAAGCACGGTTCTTCTTTTTGTACCATGGAAGAAAGTGGTCAGACAGAAACTCCACATACTTTACAGAGGTCATTTTCACACCTTCAGGGACCCTAAAGGGACCGACCAGCTCTCTCCCCATTATTCCAGCCCAAAACATGTTTCCGCCACCTCCTTGCTGACGTCGCAGTCTTGTTGGGACATGGTGGCCGTCCACCAACCATCCACTACTCCATCCATCTGGACCATCCAGGGTTGCACGGCACTCATCAGTGAACAAGACTGTTTGACAATTAGTCTTCATGTATTCCTGGGCCCACTGCAGCCGCTTCTGCTTGTGAGCATTGTTTAGGGGTGGCCGAATAGAAGGTTTACACACAGCTGCAAGTCTCTGGAGGATCCTACACCTTGATGTTCGTTGGACTCCAGAGGCACCAGCAGCTTCAAATATATGTTTGCTACTTTGCAACGGCATTTTAGCAGCTGCTCTCTTAATCCGATGTTTTTGTCTGGCAGAAACCTTCCTCATTGTGCCTTTATCAGAGCGAACCCGTGTGTGCTCTGAATCAGCCACAAATCTCTTAACAGTACGATGATCACGCTTCAGTTTTCGTGAAATATCTAAGGTTTTCATACCTTGTCCAAGGCATTGAACTATTTCACGCTTTTCGGCAGCAGAGAGATCCTTTTTCTTTCCCATATTGCTTGGAAATGGTTGTCTGCTTAATAATGTGGAACGCCCTTCTTAAGTAGTTTTTCCTTAATTGGGCTCATCTGGCAAACTAATTATCACAGGTGTCTGGAATTGATTTCAGTGATCCAAAGAGCCCCGTGACACAATACCATCCATGAGTTTAATTGAAAAACAAAAAATGTAATCTTTATGACCCTTAAATGCAATTTGCATAATAATTTGGAACGCGGTGTATATCTCTGAACAACAAGCACAGATAACGACTAAATGTGTTAAGATAAGATAAGATATTCTTTATTTATCTCACAAGGAGGAGAAATTTACATGTCACATTTGGCATGGATAGGAACACTCAGATTGTGCAAAAAAGGGAGGAAATGTGCAAACATGTTTCATGCAGGATATATTATGTACATAAAAAAAGTGGCAATCAGAAATAGTGTCAATATTAGTGCAGGTTTTTCAGTCTTATACAGTGACTTATTGTACAGTCTGACAGCGGTGGGGATAAAGGCCCTGCGGTAGCGCTCCTTCCTACACTGAGGGTTAAGAAGGAGTTGCAACCAATCGGGTTGCAACCAGTGACTCGATTGGGTTTCATGGATGGACAAAAATCCAGAAATATTGACATGTTTTGTACACTTACCTGTTTGATATCAAACAGAGCCGGCCATCGGTCCATGAAATCTCTGATCGGCGGTTCTTCATTCACCACCTCTTGTCTGCGAATGGAAAATGTCTTTGCCATCATAATATTGATTGTCTGAGAATTCTTCTTTTTGACCTCATTCAACAAAGCAATTCTTTCCAGTTCCAAGCATTCCACAGTATCTCCTTGTGGGTGTGGTGGCAAGTAATTAACTTCGGCTTTTCTAGGCTTTTTAATGTTTTTTGCAGGTTTTTTGTCGAGCGGACGTTTCTTTTTCAGGGAGTTAACCTCCAGTTCAGGACATCCCAGACCTCTAAGCTTGCATCTGTAATTCCCCATTTTATACTTCAGTCTCTGCTGCCAGCCATAGCATCCGTTAAAAGAGCCCGGTTCTTTGAGGCATGGGTGTTTGGTCACTAGTGCCTCAGCCACAGAGGCTAGTTGCACACTCGAAGGATATGCTGCATACTGAAAGATAGATTCAGCCAATTTCTGAATCACTGGTTTTGGTTTTCTTTAACGTGTCATTTCCTGAAGCCAGCACAAGCTCTGTATCATAGGCAAAGCGAGGTATTGGAAAGTCAGAAGGCCAAGTCTGTGATCGCTGAGTAGAGTGTTCAGGTGATGATAGAATGACTGTATCCATTGAAGACGTGTCTTTCCAAGAACTGTTGGCATCCTCAGACTCATGGATGCTGGTCTCCAAACTGTTTGGAGTAGAGCTGACATCTGTTAAGTTTAGAGTAAATACCATAGGATCCTCTATGTAAACCACTTTAAGGGTAGCCTTATCCATCAGAACAGAAGTTGAGGTTAAAGAAAAAAAATCTCCGAAATCAAGATCTTTAAAATGTAACCTAAATCTTTGGGTGATCCCAAATGTCTCCCTGACAATACACTCCAGTTCAGACACAGTCTCAGGAAATCCTTGGGGTAAATCCAGTCTGCGAGCATCATGGGCTTCCAATAAAACCCGCAGGATGACAGCCTGAGCCATTGTTGAATCTGAAAAAGCAAAGGCATAATTTAGATTTGGTCATCCAAACTGTCCGACTTGGTTTTGCATGTATACAACTTTTTTTTGTATTTAATCATTTGGCATGTATATAATTTGGCATGTATATAACTTTCTTTTTTTAACCATTATTTTTTTATTTCATCATTTCGCATGTATATAATTTTTATTTATTTTTTATTTAATCATTTTGCATGTATATACATTATTTTTTAAATATTTATTTATTTTATCATTTTGCATGTTTATGACATTTTTTTAAAACTATTATCTTTTTATTATTTTTTATTTTGTAATTTTGCATGTATATAACTTTTTTTTAACCATTGTTTTTTTAATGTAATCATTTGGCATGTATATAACTTTTTTATTTTTTATTTAATCATTTCGCATGTATATATATATTTTTTAACAACTTTTTTTTATTTATCATTTTGCATGTCTACAAACATTTTTTTAACCATTGTTTTTATGTAATCATTTGGCATGTATTCACTTTTTTTAAACTATTTATTTTTTATTTTTTATTTAATCATTTTGCATGTATATAACTTTTATTTTTTATTTAATCATTTTGCATGTATATATATATATATTTTTTAACTATATATATATTTTTTTATCATTTAGCACAGGGGTGGCCAACCAGTCAGAGACTAAGAGCCATTTTTTTTACTTTGTTACAGCAAAGAGCCACATCATACAAATGTGCGCTACATAAACATCACCCCATCCCTTACACACGCACACACACGCGCACGTACGCACACGAGCAGACACGCGCACACACATGCAACCTGTCTGAGCAGAGAGAGGTGTGCTCTGCTCAGATAGATGTAAATGTCATCAACATGATAATGACAGAAATTGACTCGTACAGTACTAAAGGGCTGGACTCGACTCTCCCTGGTTTGCGGGCACTTCTACCGCTCGCTTTAGCCGCTCCCCGGTACTTTTTATTGATGGTTCGGCCCTGGTTCTAACCGGGCGAGTCGATACCAGAACAATTGCACGTCAGCGAACATCAATTATGATTCCGAAATGAATGCTTTCAATCTCTAACCAAGAAAAAAAAATCAAGTTTCAACCCAGTATTCAGCAGAAACACAACTGTCTTTATCGAACCATGATTCACTCTCTGACTGTATTTAGTAAAAGATATAGATTTGACACATAACACCAACACCACTTTAGCTGATTTAGAACCACAGACACATGCTCAGTATAAGACCAGATACTTTTGCATTTGATTGAAGACAGACACTCACCAGGCAGAGTTGGCTTTTCTCCTGGTGTAACGCTAGCTGGTGTTAGCTGGTTTTAGCATGTTAGCCGGTGTTAGCCGATGTCCGTAAATGTAATCCATTTGGTCAAACCACCTCCAGACTTTTCGGGTCTGCCTCTACTTCTGCTGCTGCGATCTTTCATTTCACGGTTGTCACTTTTAAGCTTTTTAACTTTTCTCTGCATTGTCATGTTTGTGGGAATCATTCTGCTCCGTCCTTAGCGCTAGCTCCACAAACACCTTCTGGTTTCTGGTGGAACCATCGAGCTCACGCTGGTGTCCTCTCCTCAAACTGAGGAAGGAGTTGCCCTCATCCAGCGACCAAGGAACTGTTTTCCGTACGGACGCCATGGGTCGAGGCAACGTGTTGTTTGTTATGATATTTAACAGCTGAGGCAGCGGCTGCAGAGTGATTGACAGCGCATCTGACCAATCAGAATTGACGTTCGCCGACGTCAGATTGTTTTGGTGGCCTGGCTAGTGGAGTGAAGTCGGCCTTTACTATGGGTCAGAACTACATAAAGAATGAATGGCAGCGCCACCACCGAGGCGTTTTTGACGCTTGTCGTGTGAAAGCCCGAGAGCCGCACGGAACCAGCCAAAGAGCCGCATGCGGCTCACGAGCCGCGGGTTGGCCACCCCTGATTTAGCATGTATATAACTTTTTTTAACCATTGTTTTTTTATGTAATCATTTTGCATGTATATTACCTTTTTATTTTTGTTCTATTTTTTATTTAATCATTTTGCATTTATATAACTTATTTATTTTTTATTTTAATCATTTTGCATGTATATATATATTTTAACTATATATATATATATATATATATATATATATATATATATTTTTTTTTTTTATCATTTAGCATGTATATAACTTTTTTTAACCATTGTTTTTTTTTATGTAATCATTTGGCATGTATTAACTTTTTTAAACTATTTTTTTTATTTAATCATTTTGCATGTATATAAACTTAACCAATCGGTGTGTGAATGTAGTGTTTCAGGGTAACCATTCTCCTCCCAGCAACAGTGTAGGCTGCAAGTGGGAAGAAGTCAAACAACTCACATGGTTTAACAACGTTCACCAATGTTGTACTTTCAAGCACATAACCTCGAAGGTGTTCGAAGTACCAGGCATTTAGAGATTTCAGTATAAAAACTGGGTTTCCTTCAATGGCCGCTATCTGAATTAGCTCTCCAAAATGTGGGAGTCCGCCAGTCGATCCATGAGCCAATATCATTCCTGAAGAATAATTGGTACCTCCATAACACACCGTTTTTGCCATCTGGACATTTAACTCACCAGGGAATTGTGTGTTCAGTGCGTTTTTTATGTCCTCTCTCAGGAGAGTCACATCCACAACTGACAGTTTCGATACCTGTAAAACAGGTTGGACATGTTTATTGCCATATTGATGGTAAGCAACCATTAATTGATGTTTCACAGAAAGAGACAGAAGAATGTTTCGAAAGCAGTGGGTTTGTCTAACTATACGCTTGAAAAAGCTATGTTTAGCTTCAAAGCGCATAGTCCATAATGATACAAGAGGACCAAAAGCCTTTATGAGCTGTGGGTAATGTTCCAGAAAATGATGCTTGGGAGTTAGATTGACCTGTGGGAAAATATTCTTGAACCTGAACCGATGTTCAGAAATCTTGCTTTCTAGAAAACAGATTGTTTCTTCTGTGTGAACAGTGGACAGGACTAGTTCTACTATGTCCTTCAAGTTCAGAAGGAGTTCCCAAGCTGGATCCTGCTCTGGTATTCTTGCCCCAACTAGAAAAGGAAGGAAACGAAGCAATGACCAATTTTCATGGGCATTCCCACCTACTGTTTTTTTGGAAGCAAAATTCAAAGGAATGGCTTGTGGTGCATCAGTTTTATCGCTCCACTGGTATGGGAACTCTTTGATTGATCTGTTCAATTCTTCCAGAGTGAAATATCTCGCTTTAATTAAAACATTTAGACAAAGTGCCATTTCTTTTGGGACGATGCCCTCAAAAAGGTCATGTAGCATATCTGGTGGATAGCCAGACAAGACATCAAAATGTTTGAGGTTTGCAGTCAGAGGGCACTTTTTTTTTACTCCAAAACAATGAGACTCACTTGTGTTGTCCTGTGCAGTTTGAACTTCACTTAACTAACTTCACTTATTTGGAACTCTGCTCTTTCACAAAGACAGAACCTGCAGACGTGTGAACTAGAGAAGCTTTCCACAAAACCTCCTATACCATGGGCGCCGAGGTTGTCAGCAACAACACAAAAGACTGTACCTTTGACTTTTTTCCCTAAGGAAGGAACATAAAGTCCCTCCTCTTCGAGACTTGCAATGTCTTTAAGCAGTGGATCCAAAACAACATTATAGCCAAACTGTTTTACATCATCAGCCTTGCAAAGAATTGCCAAATAAATAGAAGTCAGGGATGACCTAAGTGCCTGTGGCACATTTGCCAAGACCCAATACACAGCTGTGATTTTGTGTTTTTTTCTTGAAGTTCCTAGCGGATTACAAATTTCAAAATCATCCACGTACAGAATTAAAGAAAAATTTGGGTTGTTTTCAGTTAACAGTGCATTATCTTTGAAATATGTACCATCCTGAAATGACTGTATTTCAGAGCCATCATTTGTTTCACCGCTCTGAGTTAGCAAGTCCTGGATGTCTTTGTTCTTCATGAGCTCATTTAAGGATTTAAGAATGGGTATGTATTGAAATGTTTTCTTGTCCTTTGCACTAAGGAAATATTCAACGGGTTCCACCACAGAAGAGTGTTCCTTGAAATGCTGACTTCGTTTGTATGAAGAGGAAAGGGGGCCATCTTTACCTAAAGCTGAACTTATCGGGTGTGACTGACAGAGCTCTGACGCCATTTCTGAAATGACCAAATCCTCGACTGCACAATTATTCTTATTCAAACATGCTCGTAAAATATCTATTAATATAGGCTTTGAAGCAGAACAAGACACAAAATGCAATTCCTCTACCAACTCATCGATACATCTGCCAGGCACATTGAAAATGCTTTCAAGTTTCAGCATTAGGTGGGCAATTCTGGTCTCAATTAAGTTAGGCAATTCATCCTCAGCAGTATCTTCAGCCCCTGCATTTTCATCACCATCATCATCATCTTCAAAAGGAGGATCATCTCCTGTATTGAGAGGATTTACATACCTTTTCACAAGTTCAGCCTTAAAGTTGTCCACTGAATGCAGAGTGTGTTTCCGGCTCCTGTGAGAGTGAAAGGTTCCATATACAGTGCCTTGCGAAAGTATCAACAACAAGTGGGACACAATCGTGAAGTGGAACAAAATTTATTGGATAATTTAAACTTTTTTAACAAATGAAAAACTGAAAAGTGGGGCGTGCAATATTATTCGGCTCCCTTGCGCTAATACTTTGTAGCGCCACCTTTTGCTGCAATTACAGCTGCAAGTCGCTTGGGGTATGTCTCTATCAGTTTTGCACATCGAGAGACTGGATTTCTTTCCCATTCTTCCTTGCAAAACAGCTCGAGCTCAGTGAGGTTGGATGTAGAGCGTTTGTGAACAGCAGTCTTCAGCTCTTTCCACAGATTCTTGATTGGATTCAGGTCTGGACTTTGACTTGGCCATTCTAACACCTGGATATGTCTATTTGTGAACCATTCCATTGTAGATTTGGCTTTATGTTTTGGATCATTGTCCTGTTGGAAGACAAATCTCCGTCCCAGTCTCAGGTCTTTTGCAGACTCCAACAGGTTTTCTTCCAGAATGGTCACCTACCTCAGCTGTAGTTATCTGCAGTTCATCCAGAGTGATCATGGGCCTCTTGGCTGCATCTCTGATCAGTCTTCTCCTTGTTTGAGATGAAAGTTTGGAGGGATGGCCGGGTCTTGGTAGATTTGCAGTGGTCTGATACTCCTTCCGCTTGCACAGTGCTCCTTGAGATGTTTAAAGCTTGGGAAATCTTTTTGTATCCGAATCCGGCTTTAAACTTCTCCACAACAGTATCTCGGACCTGCCTGTTGTGTTCCTTTGTCTTCATGGTTCTCTCTGCGCTTTAAAATCCCATGGGTTACCAAATGCCGGCAAGATTTTCCATCCTAAAACCCGCGAGAATGCTTAAAACTTTTCTTTATTAGGCCCGAGCCCCAACCGGGGTAAGGGCCTATTGCTTTTCCAAAGAGTAATGCCTGGGCAAAGCGGCAAAGCGGCAAAGCCCAGGCATTACTCGTAACTGTCATAAGTCACAATCTCCGGGCGCAGAGAGATTGCACGCCTGTACGCGACGGCACGTGCCCAGACACTGATAAATCCGTGCCAGAGGCACGGAATGGCTTTGCTCCTGCTGTAGTACACAATGAAATGATTGAGGTCCTATTAAAGGGGGGTTCTTTCAACTGTCTTACGGACGAATGTCCGTAAGGGGGGTCCTATGGGGGGGGTGACCTCATGATGGCGAGGTGATCACCGAGAACCCAATAGTTGCGTTCGCCTCGTCGTTCGCTTTAAAACGACGTATCATTTGTATTATAGGTTACTATGGAAACCTATATTGTTTTTGCTCAAAGATTTAAAAAAAAAATTCCTTGGTTTGGTTTCTTTCTTTCTTTCTTTTTTCTTCTGCGCTTTGAACCTTAATTTGACCCCCTGAACATTGATGAGAAGTTGTGAAATTTTGCCCAAAATTCAGAACTGGCGAAAAAATATTTTTTTTGGTGTTTATTTTTATGGGACAAAAAAAATGCCCGAACAGCGCCCCCTACAAAAGTCAGTTTACATTGCGCCTATGGGAGCGGGTCGGAGGTCAAGTTTGTCGTAGAGCCACGAAATTTGGTACACATGTTCCTCAGGTCAAGACATGAAAAAAAAGTTATTATGGCTCCGCCCCCTGACAAACAGGGAGCTCATTAATTTCAATGGGAAATGGAAAAATGAAAATTGATATTTTTCACACGTCGGTTGGAAATTATCTCCTCCTCGGCCGTTTCACCGATTTGTATCAAAATCGCTCCACATGGTCTAAACACATGTACCATGAATTATTGCATATAGAATTTGGATCAGTTAAACGTTGTCCGAGCAGCGGAGCGGCAAAATGTGACATTTTTTTACCTATTTTTGACAAAAGTAAATTTGCTCCCATTTGCACAAAAAAAGTCAGATTTGCACAAAATTGTAATCCATTGTTCAGCTCCAGGGTCTAGGTCAATTGAAAGTTGAAATATTGAAATTGGCTCATTAGCGCCCCCTACAGACTATGTCAAAGTTTTACATGGGCCTAATAAAATTTAGTTTTTTCAAAATGTTTGAAATTTTGCACATAATTCTGTTTTGTCATCTCATTTCATTTCATTTAATAGTTTATTTGGATAGGGACAATACACATTAATCAACATTGCTGTAAATGTGTCAGTATTAGCTAACAGCTAGTTTCCAACTGTAGTCCCTAGGCAAGGTGTAAAATGCCATCTGGATTCACAAAGTCAATGACAACATATGTTTTTTTTTTTACCCTGTTGCCGTGGCGACGACCAACACTCCCCTGTCTGTGTCTATGAGAAAATCGTTAAATCTATGAAAAGTACACCTCGCTCAAACATCAAACCAGCCGCGGCCGTTTCACTAATTTGGCGGAAAATCATTCCACATCGTCTCAACACATGGACCATCAATAGTTGCATATAGAATTTGAATTAGTCAAACGGTCTGCGCGTGACAGACTCCCAAAGTGTGGTTACTTTCATAGAGAGGTGTGAAGGACCCATGTTATCCAATGGAGACTGTATGGACACACTCACAGATTGTATGTGCAAACAGGAGCACATTTACAAACTCTGATTTGCACTAAACTCAAGCCCCGGTGATCCAAGATGGCGCCCTATTCAAATGAATGGTTGTGCTCAGTGGCGCTTTGTGACGGCATGGGGGCTGAAAAGATTAGCGGAAGTTGCCTGAAACTCGCAAAGATTTATGGGAAACTCCCAAAGATCTATGGGAAACTCGCCTGTATTTGGGCATTGTCTGGTCCTCCCGATTCTGCGCAGTGGATGATCTCCCATAATGCGTTGCGTCAAACACGCGTGTGTGGGTCTCACACCAGGTCTCACGCACGTGCACAGAGGGGCTCGGCCGTGCTCTGACCAATCAGAGCAGTTCATCAGAGCGGGAGTTAGAGCGAGAGCCAGACGAGCAGAGTTTGTGGCAGTAAAGTGTGGATTTAAACAAAACCGAAAGATTTAAGAAGAAAAAAAGTTCAAGGGACACTAAAATCCCCACAAAATCCGACCTTTATGAAAGCTGTAGGTTCTCTGTCAGCTGAGGTTGAGCTGTTTTAATATGCATTGAGTTCTATGGGGAAAATTATGGGTTATTCAGCTACAAGCTAGTAATACACTATCCAGTTATTATAATAGATCCATGACTAAACTTGACTCGGTTGCTCAACTCCTGGGCCCAGGTCACATGACAGTGTGAACAATGACATTGGCCCATTAGCGCCCCCTACAGGCTGAGTAAAGGTTTACCTGAGAATAAAGGTGTTTAGGTTTTCTATTGTTTGATCTCATATTTGAACCCCTGAACATGCATGAAAACTTACCAAATTTTTCCACAAGTTTTGTTTTCACATAACACATTATTTTGGTGTTCATTGGTATGAGACTAAAACAAAAAAATTATAGGGGGCGCTGTTCTACAAAGTAAAAGCCACCATTTGCACATACAAAGTCCGATTTACACCAAATTTTAAACGGTTGTTCAACTTTTGGGTTTTGGTAAAGTAAAAGTCTAAAACATGATATTGCACAGACGCTTTCAAAATTGTACGTACTTTGTTCAAAATTTTTGAAATTTTGCACAAAATTCTGTTTTGTCATCTGGATTCAAAAAGTCAATGACAACATATGATTATTTTTTACCCTGTTGCCGTGGCGACGACCAACACTCCCCTGTCTGTGTTTATGGCGAAATCATTATATATATATATATATATATATATATATTAGTGCTGTCCAAAATATCGCGTTATTAACGCGTTAACGCAAATCAATATTAACGGCGTCATTTTTTTTATCGCGCAATTTAAAAAAAAAAAAAAAAAAAAAAAAAAAATTGTTTTGTTTTTTTTACTTTTTATTGCAGACAAACACAAATACAGAAAAAAAATAGAAACAAAGAAAATGACTAGTTCAGATACATTGTAGACAGAGATTACAAACAATATGTAGTTGGAGATACAGGGGGCCAAAGAAGAAACCCAGAAGGGGGGGGGGGACATGAAGTGGGAGATGGGGGGGAGGGGTTAATAAAAAAGGCAATACAAGCAAACAGTATACAGTCATAGATATACCGAAAGTAAACAGAGAAACAGCATAGAGTATTTACATGAACAAATTTACAAAATATTAAAAAAAGCAATTGCACACAGCACGCCTATTCACTTTTTAGTAGTATTAAAATGATAATTCAAGGGACATAAAGAATTGATACAAATGTGTGACTAATTTGCGATTAATCGCGAGTTAACTATGAAATTCATGCGATTAATCGCGATTAAATATTTTAATCGTTGGACAGCACTAATATATATATAACAGGAGCACATTCACAAACTCTGATTTGCACTAAACTTGACTCGGTTGTTCAACTCCTGGGCCTAGGTCACATGACAATGTGAACAATGACATTGGCCCATTAGCGCCCCCTACAGGCTGAGTAAAGGTTTACATGGGGATACAGGTATTTTGGTTTTCTGTTGTTTGATCTCATATTTGACCTACTTAACAAACACAAAAACTCACCAAACTTTGCCAAAAGTATTTTTCAGGCATAAGGTGTATTATTTTGGTGTTCTTTGGGGTATGACTAAAAAAATTAAATTGTAGGGGGCGCTGTTGTACAACATTAAATGCCACCATTTGCACATACAAAGTCCGATTTGCACAACATTTGAATTGATTGTTCAACTTTTGGGTTTGAGTAAACTGAAAGTGTAAAAGACGAAATTGCAGCAATAGCGCCCCCTACAGACTGAGTCAAGTATTACATGGGGAGAATGAGGTTTACCTTTTCAAAGACACACACAATCACTGATCATAGGTATTCAAAATCCACAGTGTCGCTCCCATCAGGGCGGTAGGAAAATGGCGCGTCAGCGCCACCTCGGTTGCGTTGTGCGGCGAGGGCCGTTAGATGCCGCTTGCGGCTTTAATTTTTACTTGTTCTTTGTTATAAGTGTATTCTCTTTCTGAATTGCACACACCTAAATGTTTGTATTATATGTGGAGATAAACTGTGAAGCTTGTTATAATAATAAACACTTGTATGCTGAATTTATACTATGCCTTACTCTATTCTCTACCTCTCTTCTTTTGAGTCGCAGCTCGTTCACTCGAAGGGAATAAAACATTAAAACATTGGAGATGAGATTGAATGACATCGTGTGTCAGGCTTGAACTCTCTGACCCGGCTTGGATTTGCCCCTGTGTACGGAGATCTGAGGGCGCCGCAATTCGGTTTAATTGGACTTAATAGAATATCTGCCTGCTTTTGACTGCTACATTGCATACAATATTGGCCCCTCAGGCGATGTGTTTTTCTCCTGCTGTGTCTTCTCTCCACTCTTATCTCACATTCCTCGGCCAAGGCCATAATAACAAGGTCCCCATCTACAACAACTCACACTATTTCAGTCTCCAGCACGGATCCCGCTCCCCCCGCCTCCCTCTACCTATGCATCTTGCTCCCTCCCTCCCCTCCACTCCTCATTGTGTTTCCGACTCACCCCCTCCCTGACCCCGCCCCCCTCTAACAGCCACATTGGGCCGGCAGTCGGAGGTGCTCATCCCGAGAAAAAAATCCGTGGTTTATACAAAGCACAATGTGTCTATCCAATTGTCTGTGAAACTGTGTGTTATTGCTCTCTGGTGTTTATTCTACTGTTTGTCGCATGGCGCCGTAAAGATGGCGCCGTGGCAAGAGCTCTGGTGTGTGTCGTCAGGTGCACACTGGGGTAGTCTTGCACAGTATTTCCAATGTGGTTTTACTGCAAATGGCAAATAAATGAATCTGAATCTGAATCTGACTGTTTGCACCGAGAGCCAAATCAATTTCCTAGTTTGTGACTTCCTGTTACTTACATGGCAATAAAAATGATTCTGATTCTGACTTTGACACTGTTTCTCTCTGAAAGCAGCAGTGGTCTGGATCTCACTGCCTCTGTCTGTGCAGGATTGTAGCTCACTGAGAGAGTTCAAACTCAGCCTAAAGGCTCAAAGAAAATCAACTCTGCAGTCATTAATTAGATGTCAATAATTGTGTGTTGTGTGACGCTAACTCCACCATTTTATTTATTAATTATTCGCGTAAACCTGCTGTCACTTTGCCTCTGTCTAGGGATGAAATAAGCTTGTAGCTATGTTCCGGTCTGAACAATACATTTATTGTGCATATTGGGCGACAGTAGCTCAGTTGGTAGAGCATTGGCCATAAGGCCAGAAGGTCGTGGGTTCAATTCCCACCTCTGCACCTTCTCCACCGACTCCCACTGATGACTGTCGTTGTGTCCTTGGGCAAGACACTTAACCCCACTTTGCCCAAAGCCCCCACTGAAAGATCAAGGCTATGCTCACACTCAGAGAGCAGCTGCCCTCCTGTGGACTCACCACCTGCAGAGGGTCAGTGAGGGGCTGGTGCTATGAGACTTGGGTGGCATCTCTGATTGACACCCCCCTGACCCAGAAATGGATTAAAGGGTAGAAAATGGATGGATGGATGGATGGTGCATATGTCCCTGTCAAATAAACTAATAGATAAATAAACATGTACAGTACACATTATAGTGCACAGTGGCTGAGAGGATAGCACTCTCACTTCTCAGCAACAAGGTGCAAAGTTCAAATCCTTGTCGGAACAGGACCTTTCTGAGTGGAGTTGTTCTCCAAATGCCAAGTGCTTTGTGACTCTGGTCTGTGAAAGACGCTATAAATAAATCAGAATAATTTGTAATGCCATGTAAGTAACAGTAAGTCACAGACTTAGGAATTGCTTTGGCTTTAAAGATTACTTACTTACATAGACATGTATATACACATGTACAGTATATACACCGGTACAGTACACACACATGTACAGTACTTACACATCACTTGTGATGTGTTGTGATTTGAATGCGTTGGAATACGGCAGCACGTCCTAGAAGCTCCGAAGATATCGTACTCTACAATCGTTATTTTTCTTACTTTTTCTAGCTGTAGATTAATTTGATCCCAGTACAGTGTTTATGGTTTTACACTGATCCAGAGCAAAGAGATGAAGTGTAAATTATCTGGAGGAAAGAAAATATTTTTAATAAATGCACTGGCAGGAATTCACAAAGTACTCGCGAGATTAGCTCCTTCGGCAAAGACAAAGCCCATGTGGGATGAAGCATCCGATCCCTCTGGAGATCAAGAAGCCCTTCAGAGGATATCAAGCCAGAGCTAAGAAAAAGGCAAGGAAGTACCGATACAAACCATTCGTACCGTTAATAATAATAAGGCCAAATGTGATGAGAATGTCCATAGTCTGTAGAGGATTCAGGCAATGGACAACAGAGGCCAGTGATGCTCTGAGAGATTGCTTTGAGACTACTGACTGGAATATACTTCTGGGCTCAGGGCAGGACATTAACAAGGTGTGGACAGTGTTATGGACTACGTCCAGTCTGTACCTGTGTCTCAGTGCCAAAGAAAACAGTCCGCTGTTTACACACCTTGGATCACAAGTGACAACAAACAGGTGAGAACTATCCAACATCACCTGAAGAGGACATTCAGACAGGCAAGGAGGTAGTCCAAGAAAGGTTTGGAGGAGAAACTGCAAAATGACGACACCCCGGAAGTGTGGAAGGGCATGAGCGCCATTACTGGATACAAAGAGAAGTCGATGTTAAAATCTTGTAAAAGAGATTCTTAATCTCAATTAGGTTCTCCTAGCTGAATTAAGGGTAAATGATAGTTTTATTGAAGTATTCTTTTGTCTTCTGCAGGGCACTTCTGGAGAGTGAAAGGATAAATATGGAAGACTCTCGCGGGATGAAACAGTCCAAAGTGAGAATGATAGGTATGTTTATTATGCATGATATTCCTGTTGCTGTCTCTGTACTTGTACTGTGCATGTCAAATGATTGATACATCATCCATCCATCTATCCATCCATGAATCTATCCATTGATCTTTAGTAGTCAATCATTTGCTTGGACATGACTATAGATGATGTGACTCTGATGAAAAACTCACTGATTTAAAAACCCCCATATTAGAATAGAGAATACATATTTGGTTTACTTATATTTATTTGTTTGGGTTAATTGTCAAGTAAAAAGGACATATGTACACCTACATGTTTACACATATTACATTTTGTTCTTTTGTATTGTGTGTTTGTATGTTGCTGTATTCATTTGTAATTTTAATGTTGTCGAGTCTCTTTTGTGTGTTAACGGGTTGTATAATTTATAATACGTGTAACAAAAATGTGTAACTATTTATTTTTCATTATTATTACGTAATGGTGCCTGCATGTGATAGCCAGACCCGTCAAGCTAAGCAGGGCAGGGTCTGGTTAGTACTGTGATGGGAGACTTCTGGTACCACAGTTCCACAGTTCTATCCTTAGACAAGATATATCACTCACTTTACCTAAAATGAGTCTGGTGTGTGTGAATGGTTGGTAGTGATGGGAGGGATGGCACATACCGTTTCCTTGCATCTGTCAATTTGCTCCAGTGCAGTTGTGGCTATAGTAGGTATTACCACCGTGCTTGGAGTGAAAGATATGAAGTGTCTTTGAGTGTCCAAAAAAGCGCTATTTTAAACCAAAAACAAATATATTATGTAATTAGTAAAAACTAAACCAGGCTGTATCTTTAAAAGTGTAAGTCCAAACTGTAGTGCAAATGTCTGTACAAATCATACTTCTGGGTGCATATTATAAATCCCTGTGAGCGCTGATTGGTTGTGATTTGACAGCCACTTCATAGAAAGGCTGCATTATTGGAATTATGAGTTAGAACTAGGCCTGTCACAATTACAAATTTTGCTGGACGATTAATTGTCTCAGAAATTATTGATAGTATTGTCGTTCTGAGATCATTTTGATCTAATACAATGATAATGATGCAGGTACACCTTTTAAAAGAGAAATACACTTTTATTTTTAAAGACCACCGCCGGAAGTGGCGGAAGTAAAAAACCGCTAGCTTGATGCGAATTCCGTTAGCATCATGCTAGCGGCTTTCTGTGTAAAGTTCTTGCCAATGACGCAGCTCTGCACCGTCTCTTTGTCCAGAGACCTTCCAGAGACTTTATATAAAAGCAGTATGTGTTCACGGAGGTGCGTCATAAGTTTATTTTATTATTAAACGGTACTTCCGCATCGGCGAACACGCTAACGCTAGCTGCGCTAGTTTAGTCACTACTAGAGCCTGAATGAGAACAACTACTGTGTCCCCCATTGTCAATCCTGGTTAAGTCCTAGTTTAGTCCTGGTTTAGGTCCTGTTTTGGCTGTATTTTGTATTTTTTTGTCATTTCAGTCTGCTCGCTAGACCGCTAATGTTCCCGCGACCACTTTGCGTCTCTCTGACCCGAGAGAGAGGGAGAGAGAGACGGACAACAAACAAGCATGCAAATGGATTTATCACGGCCAGGAAAATTATCGAGCTAATTTGAATTATCATGCGATTAATTGATTTATTGAATATTGCGACAGGCCTAGTTAGAACTTTAACCACAGTTGATTAAAAGTGTCATGAAATATCTAAAATGGCCGCAATACAAAACCTCCTATCTGAAAAAAATCACTTTTTCCAGGAAACAAAAAAAACGTTTAATTTGATTATTTTATGTTCTTTGTTTAAAATGTTAAAGTATATTCTAATGTTTTAAGACAATATTTCTATATTATGTGAAAAAATACATACATACGTATTTTTGCACATCACAGTGGAGATAGGTGTTTTTTCCCTTATTTTTCTGCACTTTTGTGCACATAGGAGTTTTTGACTCATGTGTAAATAGGGAGAAAATAGCCAAACTATGTTGTAAATTAGAAAAGGACAGTCAAATTAGGAAGGTTATTCTAATGGAAATATACACACACATTTTGAACTACAGAATGTTGTAAAGTGATCAACAATTCAGTCATCACTGTGCATAGCAAAAAAATAAGGCAATTGACTGTGAAACTTAAATTGTAAAAGTTGATATGACAATCTGCATTAAGGCCACATTAAAATGAACAAATTGACAGTGTCAAAGTCTGAACATATGTATAAAATAAAGAACTCTCTGAAAAACTCAAGTCTAGAACATAAAGTGGGGCAAAAAAGTATTTAGTCAGCACCAGTTGTGCGAGTTCTCCCACTTAAAAAGACGAGGGAGTCCTGAAATGTTCATCATTGGTAAACCTCAACGATGACACACAGAATGAGAAAAAGAAATCCTGAAAATCACATTGTCTGTTTTTTAAAGAATTTACTTGCAGATGATGGTGGAAAATTGGTATTCAGTCAACAACAAAAGTTCATCTCAATACTTTGTTATTGACCCTTTGTTGGCAATAACAGAGCTCAGAGGTTTTCTGTAAGTCTTCACAAGGTTTTCACTGTGTATTTTAGCCCGTTCCTCCTGCAGATTACATGGTTTTCCCTGCTACTGATATTTTGGCCCATTCCTCCATTCAGATCTCCTCTAGAGCAGGGGTGGCCAACCAGTCAGAGACTAAGAGCCAATTTTTTTTACTGTGTTACAGCAAAGAGCCACATCATACAAATGTGCACTACATAAACATCACCCCAACCCTTACACACGCACGCACACGCGCACGTACTGTACGCACACGAGCAGACACGCGCACACACATGCAATCTGTCTGAGCAGAGAGAGGTGTGCTCTGCTCAGACTGATTTATTGTAAATGTCATCAACATGATAATGACAGAAATTGACTCGTACAGTACTAAAGGGCTGGACTCGACTCTCCCCGGTTTGCAGGCGCTTCCACCGCTCGCTTCAACCGCTCCCCGGTACTTTTTATTAATGGTTTGGCCCTGGTTCTAACCGGGCGAGTCGATACCAGAACAATTTCACGTCAGCGAACATCAATTATGATTCCGAAATGAATGCTTTCAATCTCTAACCAAGAAAAAAAAATCAAGTTTCAACCCAGTGTTCAGCAGAAACACAACTGTCTTTAGTAAAAGATATAGATTTGACACATAACACCAACACCACTTTAGCTGATTTAGAACCACAGACACATGCTCAGTATAAGACCAGATACTTTTGCATTTCATTTGATTGAAGACAGACACTCACCAGGCAGAGTTGGCTTATCTCCTGGTGTAATGCTAGTTGTTGTTAGCTGGTTTTAGCATGTTAGCCGGTGTTAGCCGATGTCCGTAAATGTAATCCATTTGGTCAAACCACCTCCAGACTTTTCGGGTCTGCCTCTACTTCTGCTGCTGCGATCTTTCATTTCACGGTTGTCACTTTTAAGCTTTTTAACTTTTCTCTGCATTGTCATGTTTGTGGGAATCATTCTGCTCCGTCCTTAGTGCTAGCTCCACAAACACCTTCTGGTTTCTGGTGGAACCAGCGAGATCAGGCTGGTGTCCTCTCCTCAAACTGAGGAAGGTGTTGCCCTCATCCAGCGACCAAGGAATTGTTTTCCGTACGGACGTCATGGTTCGAGGCAACGTGTTGTTTGTTATGATATTTGCTACAGCTGAGGTAGCAGCTGCAGAGTGATTGACAGCGCATCTGACCAACCAGAATTGACGTTCGCCGACGTCAGATTGTTTTGGTGGCCTGGCTAGTGGAGTGAAGTCGGCCTTTACTATTGGTCAGAACTACATATGGAATGAAAGGCAGCGCCACCACCGAGGCGTTTTTGAGGCTTGTCGAGTGAAAGCCCGAGAGCCGCACGGAACCAGCCAAAGAGCCGCGGGTTGGCCACCCCTGCTCTAGAGCAATGACGTTTTGAGGCTGTTGCTGGACAACACAGACTTCCAACTCCCTCGAAAGATGTTCTATGGGACTGAGATCTGGAGACTGAGGCCACTCCCGGACCTTGAAATGCTTCTTCCGAAGCCACTCCTTTGTTGCTGTGTGTTTGGATCATTGTCATGCTGAAACAGTGTTGCCAACTCCTCAGTAAGGAAAGTAGCTATTGGCTGTCCCAAAAGTCGCTAGAAGTCGCTAAATGACGTCATCGCCTAATTTGCATAATTGGCAATTAGCAAATAACTGTAACGGACGCTGTAGGAGAGAGGAATAACGTCGTGGGAGAGACAAAAGTCAGTAAAAAACACCCTAAATATGTTTAGAACTAAAAATGTACAAAAATAATTTCAACATTAACAACATTTAATGATTTTAATGCTTTGTCTAGATCTGTCGCTAGTCGCTCTTCTGAAAAAAAAGTCGCTATAGGGTCTGAAAAGTCGCTAAATCTAGCGACAAAGTCGCTAAGTTGGCAACACTGTGCTGAAAGACCCACTTTTTTTCATTTTCAATCAAGGTTTTCATTCCAAATCTCACAATACATGGCCCCATTCATTCTTTTCTTTACACGGATCAGTCGTCTTGGTCCCTTTGCAGAAAAACAGTCCCAAAGTGTGATGTTTCCACCCCCATTTTTCACAGTAGGTATGGTGCTCTTTTGGATGCTCTTTTGGATTTTGGTTTCATCCGACCATGTGACATTTTCCCAATCCTCTTCTGAATCATCCACATGCTCTTTATCAAACTTCAGACGGGCCTTGTCATGTACTGGTTTAGGCAGACCTCTGGCACTGCAGGGAGTCCCTGGGGCATAGTGTGTTACTGATGGTGCCTTTGTTACTGATGGTATTTTTGTAAGTAAGTAATCTTTATTTATATACCGCCTTTCACAGACCAGAGTCACAAAGCGGTTTACAATTGTTAATTTTTTGGGCATTTGTCCTCTCACTCCACACAGAGATGGGAGCAGGGTCGCTAGTACAGGAGGCGCATGCCAGAACTATTGGACATGTTTTTAGTGGTAGGGGAAACCGGAGTATCCGGAGGAAACCTACGCA